CACACCTGTCCGCATCGGTGCCAGACACATTTCCACGAGAGACTCCAGGTATTTCTCCGGTGCCTTGAGGTGTGTCCAATGGTACGGAGTCGCTTTATCTGCAGAACAGATCCAACAGACCGTGGAGCTGTGCAGAGAGACTGGTAAGTACTAGTAGCAGTGGCGAATTGGGGGGGTCAGGGGTCAGGGGGGTCTAGACCCCCCCCCTCCCGGCCTTCGATTTTTGAAAAAAAATCACACCAATGGTCTCCTCTAGAATTTTGATTAGCTGAAACATAGTTCTTTACTGTACCAAATGGCACCATTCGCCCTCTAATATATCAAGTTTTTCGGGGCCCTGCAGCTGGCCCCAAACCTCACGCCAAGGGGAGGGGGGAGGGTCGACTTCGCATCCGCGGACCCCCCTTCAAATAAGTCTGGATCCGCCCCTGTAGTAGGATGATACAGTAAAAGTCCAGGCAACGAACGACTTAGGTTGGAAAAAATGTTAACAAGGGCTTTTCAACTGAATACGGTCCTGTTTGGGGCCAATATAACCCAGATAATCTCCCACCGGAATCCACAAGTACAAAATGGCCGCCAATGCATAGGGAAGAGTATTTAAGTGCACATATTATGGAAAATTGGTGATTTAGAGACTGGCGAGACGTATAATTTCTTATTTTCAAAACCATGGTCATTCAGTTGTAGATAGTTTGGATTCACCATAGGTCAAGGTCAATCTCGAGTGTCAAGGCCAATCTCGAAAAAGACCAAAACAGCTCAAAATACGACTTTCTTTATTCTTTCAAAAATGAACTTTTTATGATTTTTTTTTTTTTGTTTTGCTCTTATTGAGAACTGAACACAAGAGGCCACATTTGTGAATGTTGCATTTAACTGACCAGGGGTAAAACAATGTATGTCAAGGTCAAATTTGCATTTTAAAAGATACAAAAGTAAGATTTGTGATCCCCATAACACATGCCAAACTAATATATCCTTTGATTGCCGAATGTCCTAATGATGATTATGTTGAAAATCATTAAATAAAAGGGCAATACCTTGTAAACGAAGGGAGGCCAAGGTCATGTATGTGTGTCATGGTCAATCTCATTAGTGGCTTGAAATGTAACTACATTTTTGCGGAACTTTTAATGTCATCTATTAGTGACAAAATGTCATAAACACATGACAAAATTGAAAGAAAAGCGTGTAGATTGATACAGCTGTGAGACAATATAAACACTCAGGCATGCTATAATGTGCCTGCAAGCAGAAACACACGCACAACAACTTACAAAAGCACATTTAAAACGGTGCTTGTGGATGCAGCGTGATGGACACGCATAGAAGACACCTTAAAATGACTAAATGGCCCACGCTGCCACCAGTTATTCCAGCGGCAGCTACAAGGCAACATACGAGACCATGCAGTCATCTGCACTGGTGGTCCAGTTAAGGTAACAGCACCACGGAGGGTCGTATACTCTACTTGATATGTAGTTAGGACAGAGCATTGTCGGCAACTCCTACTAAGTGGCAATAACCTGTCAAAACTGGTTTTCCTGAGACACATTAAACGGCAGACTCCTCGATGATGGCCTAGGGTAAAGCACAGCACTCAAAAAATGTCATATGACCCAACAAAGAATGAACCGCACACCCAATGGCCTAGGGTAAAGCACAGCACTCAAAAAATGTCATATGATCAACAAAGAATGAACCGCACACCGAATGGAACCATTCTTATCGAACTTATTTTCGGTCAATTGCTTCATTGGTGGCATGTCGTGGTGAAAGCAATTGCTCATGGTGGCGATTCAGCCAATTTGTGACTTGCATTTCGCTATTGTGTCAAACCAACCAAGTGGTTCTGAAGGAAATGATGAGAACACAGATGGCCCCCTGTTATACAGCCTATAATCACCACTACATTTCAACATGGCAATGCCCAACCGTATCATGCCGGGCTAACACAACCACTTTTTATAGAGAAGTTGAGCACATTTGAGAGAGATGACATTTCAAGGATTTTTAAATAATTGTTTTTTTTAAATTACATACATGTCCATTTGACTTTAATACTTACATTTGTTCATCTTCAACACTTCAAGATCGTCAACACTTAAAGGGATAATAACTCTTCGTATGATATCTATATTTCACAATAAAAACATTGTGAACAACTCATAGAAATATAATATATTCTGTTGTACAAGAAAAACGGCAGTTATAGCTATAGTTCTGATATCTTAGCTCGTCTTCAGACCACGTGACCTCCATTGATGGCTATAAGAGATTTTAACAAAAAAACAAACTTTTTAGAAAAAAAACCAGGGACTAACTTTGAATGGATTGACCTTGGCATTAAGGCATGATCTTGACCTCTGATGGCTTCCAAACCTTTTTTCAATTGAATGACCATGCCTTTGAACATTAGAAATAATCTCTTTCACAAGTTTTTAAATTACCCAGTTTTCATGATATGCCCACTTAAACTCCGCCCCCTATGCATTGGCGGCCATTTTGGATTTTTGACACTTTGCCATGGGTGGAGTCCGGTGCGAAGTTATCTGGGTTATATTGGCCCCAAACTGGACCGGATTCAGTTGAGATACCTTTGTTAACATTTTTCCCAACTTCAGTGGGGAATATTCGTTTGTTTACCGGTCTCAGGTGTACAGAATCTACATACCCGACGACGGGGTTTCACCTCTGCTTGTCTGTCTGTCTGTCTGTCTGTCTGTTGTCACAAGCCTAACTCAAAAACTTGATTTTGATAAAATTTTCAAGATAGGTCAGAAGTTGGGTGTGTTAATTTATCTTGCAAATAAGAAAGTGTGTGTCTCTTTCAGTACACGGCGCACGGTACAAGGTTCACAAAGGTTACGCAATTGGCACTAACTCTTCACTAACATACAGATCCGCGCATGGAATCCGTTCTCTGTTGGAATGTGCCGCCTTCTGTTGCCGAGACTACAACTGTCTATCAGTGAATTATTTGGAGGCTACTTCAACCTGTGAACTCAGCAAATACTCCACCGTCTACAACAGCAGCCTACAGCTTACCCGACGTTCAGAGGGCGAGGTGCACGCCGAACTATTGCATCCCGTGAATATGTTGTCTGATTGAGATAAGTGGCGAGTCCAGACTAAGGGCTCATTTCACATGAAACTATCACTTTATGTAGAGGGATCCCAATCCGCGGAGACTTTTGCTGAATGCAATCAGATTAACATATTAACACTCCCCCTCCTGGCGTTGAAAAGAATACTGAAAAGCTGGTGATTATACCAGCTGGTGGAAACAAGAGGCGGCGTGTTATTCTGTTAATCTGATTGCATTCAGCGAGTGACTTCCCAGAGTTGGATCGATTTTCACAGCACGATATTTTTCTTGGGAATGAGCCTTATTAAAGCATTCTGATGTCGGATTATTTATTTAGGTGACTATTCTATAGGTCGACATTGGCTAATTTGGCTTTATTGTGCCGAGGCACATCTTGACACCAAAAATTAAATTTCATGAGCCCCTTGAGCCCCTGGCGAAAAAAAATTCCATGAGATTCATGGTGCGATGAAACTACATATAAAAGGTAGGGTTGAAAGCATATCAAGCGCTCTTCTATATGCGGCTATTCTGGTTGTAGAGATTATTTAATAAGTGATTTATTCAATTATTCATATATTTATACGAGCGGTCCAAATTGTAAATGTTAATATGGTTTATAATATTTCCAAGACTCCCGTAGAAAAAAAATCCATTAGTCCGTTACGTGGTGAAAAAAGAAACGGAATTTCCATAAGTCCCGTAATGTGATGAAAACGAAATATCCTTTAGTAACGTATGTTGTACTAATGATGTCCCTTAACTTTGGTATATTCCTTTCAAAGACTCCTGATGTAAGAAGTTAGATCTTTATAGGGTTCTTCTGCGTCAGCGTTCTTCTGTATACAACCTTTCTGGTTGTTGCGATTATTTTTAAATTAATTTTTTTTATTCTTTTATTCATATATTTGTGATCGCGGCTCGAATTGTTAATGTGCTTTATACATACTAATCAAGATTTTCCTTAAAATGTTATGATTGTTGTTGGTATGCATGTACACTGTAAGATGTCACGCAGTATCTTAGACTGTGCGACAGATCGCCCGATAAGGAGACAAAAAGACAGGATATTGTTATACGTTAATTGAAATTTTTGTTGTTGCTGCTGTATAGTGCAAGTGCCTAGTTCATACATTTTTATTCCACTATATTTACTCGGATTCTATTGTCACATTAAGACCCATTTATTACGTTTAATGCTCTTTTTTTCTATTTCTGCATAATGGACATCTAAGGTCAAGTTTGTCCTAGATATCTCAGCCATGGTTGAACAGTATGCTGGTATCGACTTCATAGATCATGTCGTTTTAATTTCTGGCCAAAGGAATCTAACGTGTGGACCCATTTCACCTCGTTGATAGTCATAAATACCACATTGACACAAAGAGTGATTGCCATGTATTCTCAACGGTCTTAATTTTATTACCATCAACGTTTACAGAACTGCATTGCTGTGATCAAGTCCCTTAGTGCTGTGGCAAACGTAATTTCAATGATCTTTATTACTGTCTGACCACATAGTCTGCAAGTAGTCTGTATTAAAGATTATTGTACCGGATGCTGTACTTCAAATTTGTATTCTATTCTAGAGGCTCCTGAAATCAGAGGATAGAACTTTATAGGGTTGAAAGTATAGCCAGCGTTCTTCTGTACGAGACCTTTCCAGTTGTTGAAATTATTTTTTTTATTTACTGTAAAAGCTAATGAGGTTTATAGATTTTACATACTAATCAAGATTTTCTTTAGAATATCAAAATTGTTGTTTGTATGCATGTAAGATGTCATGGACTGTGCAAGAGACTGCCCGATAAGGAGACAGATAGACAGGGTATTGTAATAAGTAAACAGAATTTATTCCTATTGTATAGTGCAAGTGTCTAGTTCATGTACTTATATTCCACTGTATTTACTCGGATTTACACTGGATCATGTCGTTTTAAATTTTAGCCAAAGAAGGTCAACGTTTGGACAAGCTGAACACTTTCACACGAAAACTTTTATAAAATTGCGGGAAAAATGATGGGAAAAATATTTAGAATATATATTTTTATACACTCAAATTACTGATTATAACTTTTAAATCAAGATGTAAATTACTGTTCCTATAGTCCTAGGCTAGGGAACAGCTGCCTTCAATTTTCTGTTACTGTTTATCAGATAAACAAAATATATATTGATTTGTACTTATGGGTTATAAATGTGTCTGTTCAATAAATAATGTTTCAAGCCACGTTATTCTACATGTTTTGTATTCAGTAAGTAATAATAAGCAGTGGGTCGAGTTTTAGGACCAGTAGCCCTTAGTGCACTCAATGAAAACTTTAAACTCAAGCGACTGAGTGTGTGTGTGTGTGTGTGGGGCTGGGGGGGGGGGGGTGATTCCAAAAAAAGTGACTTCTATGATAGTGTAATATTAACACTTTCCTCTGGCCGTTACTCAAATGATTCCCTAGATATTTTTTGAGAATGGTGCCAATAAACTCGAAGCCTACCTAGGTTACGTGTCTAACGATTACCCGTATAGCGGCGCAATGAGACACCCTTTCGCCAATTTCAACTAACACAATGAGGCACTGTCTCGCTTATCTAGCTATTGATATTTTTGTGACACAGTATCACCACCACTAGACAGTCTGCTTTACACAAAAGCAAGGAATACCTGAGCTGGAAATAGTAAAGTTATGATTTGGGAGAAGTCACAATAAACTAGATACTTCCAAGGCCGGTCTTAATTCTAAATATTTTGCGAAAAACTGTTGAGACAAGAGTATGAAAAGACATATAGAAATAAAATATTCGCATTTCCGCAAAGAAAATGACACCTTTGTTTTCAATTAAAGTATAAGCTGTGGTATGTGGAGTGGGGGTATAAGCAATGGTGATACCAAATAAAAAATTTAACCTCGATAATGGATGCTCAAAAGTCACTATTTAGATAAGGAAGTGAAACAACAGCAGGGGAATTTTAATTTAAATTTTAATAAGCGAGATCTCCTCCAGTTAAAACAACATAAAGCAGCATATCATGTAGAAAGGCTATTACTTTTTCCCCTTATACACTATAAAACGTGCAGTTTAATATACGGTAATAATATTTCCACCCTGAACTGATAAATAAAAAGATAATATGCGGTCCATGATCTGCAGACCTGAAACAGTTATGTGGCTTTTCGGTTCATTTGATGATGAAGTAGAAATTTTCGAAAGTGAATTCTTGAATAACTGAGAGTGTCCCTTGTAATGGATGGAGGCTGCTAACTTTGGATTGACTTTGTAGCAATAAAAATAATGGTGACGCTTATTTATCATCAATATCCACGGGTAGTTAGATGTGCAATTTCATGTAACCTTACTCGGGTATTTTAATTATTGATTGAATTTTACATTTGGATCAATTAAGTTATCAGAACTACGTTACATAAAAAACACATTATTTGATACTTGTCATTTTAGCTAGAACACAACGAGGAAGTTGTCACTTTAGAATATCTAAGCAATAGATCAAGGTTATTTAGCTGTTAAATTTTTCGATAAACTCTACCAGAAAGAATATCAGAGTAAGCTAGTTACGCTAAATAAAGGGTACAAACAGATGACAAGCAAAAAAAAAAAAAAAAACTGTATTGAATTGTATTGTATGAATATATGACAAACAATTCTGTAGGCCTGAAGCAATGCAGCATCTAAATCAATAACCATACATGAGCTGTTTTATACGATCCCCATCAATTGCTATCTTGCATTATCGCTAGGTGAATACACAGTGACATGTAATTTTTTTCGACGCCCCGAAGGTACCTATTTAGAGGAAATTCTAGAGTGGAGATCGCTGGTAAAACTGACAGTAAAAAGTACATCATATTTTATATATTATTTTATTTTAAAAAGTTGCACACAACTAAGGGCAGGAGATGTTGTTTTTATTGATGGCGATCGCAGTCGCGGATATTGCAGTTGGCGATGAGCGTTGTAAGTACATAGTTCACGTATGTTTGTTTATTCTTTCATTTTAATGATGTACTGAAATTTGATGTCAGAAGTTATTTTTTAATTGAGCATGAAATAATTTATACGTATTACTGACCCACTCTCGTAAAAAAGTGAAAACTGGTGGAAAATACAGAGAAATTAATTAGGAGTTAGAAAATGGAATCGTAAATGGTAATTATTTCAACTGGTTTTTTAAAAAAATTAACCCTTGTTAAAAAGAGGCAATCACCAGTCCCTGCGATGAAGGTAGAACAATAGTGTCATTGGGGATGCGCCTTGATAGAAAATAGTCAAGCAGGGAAAAATATTCTTATCAACATATCGCAGTGAATTTCAGAACAAACTTCGCTTCAGTGGTGTTACAAATAAATGTCATACTGTATGTTCTGACGACAGCTAATTTTCGGTGGGTCGTGACTTTGATATGGTAATTTAAATACTCCCAGCCTTTTCACGCGTTTTATTTGTACCAGACTATTTCAGAATTAGTCCATTAATATGTTTGAATACTCTTAGCACAAAAACTCGTCGGAATGAAAATAGATGTCTCTAAAGAGATGTTTTGCTTCTTTCAGCGGGTTTTCCTCGCCCAGCGGGTTTTTGGCCGCTTACAAAACGATACCATGGCTTGGACGTCAGTGGGAACGGTAACCACGCCCTAGTGCAAGACGTCGATTTTAACGCAGGTAAGTGAGCCACAGATGGAAAAATAGCCCCTGATGGCAAAATTGTCCGTCTTTATTTATCCATTTATTTATTTATTTATTTATTTATTTATTTATTAGTATTATTGTGCAACCTGAGTAGTTGTGGTGAGTAGGTAATAATACATTTAAAAAGTAATAATAATAATAATAATAATAATAATAATAATAACTATCTGGTGAATCTAGAGTTTTGTTGTTTGCCAATTGTGGGAGATGAAGAATATGAAAAACTCAGAAGACGAAGAGTCCATTTTTACTATATATATATATATATATATATATATATATATATATATATACGATGGTCACATGGATGGAAAATTACATATTTTTGTCCAGTTTCTCTTCTCGGATGCGCCTTTGCACGCATACATTGAGTTCTTATTTCTTGTCATTCTTCTAGGTATTTATGGCATTGGCGAAGGCTCGGCTAAATTTGCAGGCACAGTTTCTTCCTTCATTGAAATCCCAAACAATGGAGCACTGAACGTCAATTCTTTCACATGGCTGGCCTACGTGCGCCTACGGCACATGTCGGATGAGGCTGCACCCCTGTTTGACTTTCGTCGTAGCGAGGGCAATAATGTTCAAGGAATTGGCATATGGGCTATTATGGGGATTTTCTATATTTGCCCTGTGATGGACGAGACAACCTGTCGCTCAAGGGCTTATTCATTACCAGTCCTCACTGACGCTGCCTGGGTCTATGCTGGTTTCACGTACGATGCCCAGACCGGGATGACCAGGATGTGGGTGGACGGCGTGGAGGCGGGTCATTTTCAGCACACTCCTCAACTGAATCTTACCACCGATACACCTGTCCGCATCGGTGCCAGACACAGCTCCGATAGAGACGCATGGTATTTCTTTGGTGCCTTGAGGTGTGTCCAATGGTACGGAGTTGCTTTATCTGCAGAACAGATCCAACAGACCGTGAATCTGTGCAGAGAGCCTGGTAAGTAGAATGGGGATAATTAAATAATGTGTACAAAATCTACATACTGAACGACGGCGACGAGGTAATGCTTTCACCTCCGTTTGTCTGTCTGTCTGCCTGTTTGTTCGTTTGTTTAATTTTTTGTTTTTTTATTTTTAATACCACTTTTGTTTGTCACAAGGCTTGCAGATAGGTCAGAAGTGTATCAATTTATCTTGCAATTAAGAAAGTTTGTCTGTTTCAGTACATGGAGCACATTTCAAGGTTCACCGTGGTTACGCTATGGCCACTGACTCTCCACTGACATACATGTACAGATCCGAGCAGAACATCCATTGTCTCATACAGTGCTCCGCCCTCTGTTCCCGAGACTACAACTGTCTATCAGTGAATTATTTGGAGGCTACTTCAACATGTGAACTCAGCAAATACTCCACCGTCTACAACAGCAGCCTACAGCTTACCCGTCGTTCAGAGGGCGAGGTGCACGCCGAACTATTGCATCCCGTGAATATGTTGTCTGATTGAGATAAGTGTCGAGTCCAGCCTAAGGGCCCATTCCCCATGAAACTACTGTACTACGTAGATCGATCCAAATCCACGGGGGACTTTCGCTGAATGCAATCAGATTAACATATTTCTATATTAAAACTCCTCCTCCGGGTGTAGTGCGGTGACAAACGTAATGTCCATGATCTTTATTACTCTCTTACATGTTCATGTACCACAGAGTCTGCAAGTGCTGTAGTTTGTTTTAGAATTATTGTATCGGATGCTTTACTTAAATTTTGTATTCTATTCTAGAGGCTCCTGATATCGAAGGATAGATCTTTATAGGGTTGAAAGTATAGCCAGTGTTCTTCTGTACACGCACGAGACCTTTTTGGCTGTTGAGATTATTTTTTATTTACTACTTATTCTTTTATTTGTGCGGGCTGTAAAAGCTAATGAGGTTTATAGATTTAACATACTAATCAAGATTTTCTTTGAAATATCAAAATTGTTGTTTGTATACATGTAAGCTGTCATGGACTGTGCGACAGACTGTCGGATAATGAGGCAAATAGGATATTGTAATATGAAAACATAATTTATTCTTGTTGTATAGTGCAAGTGTCTATTCATGTACTTATATTCCAGGCCTCATAAACGGATTAGGCGTTTCCTAGCACGAGCCTCAGATTCCCGAGCGCAAACGCCAATATTAACGAGCCCCACCTCAGATTCAAAAGCACAACGTAAAGTCGACGAGCACATATTCCACTGTATATAATCGGATTTACAACAGATCATGTCGTTTTAAATTTTAGTCAAAGGAGGTCAACGTTTGGACAAACTGAACACGTTCACACGAAAACTTTCATAAAAATGGGGAAAATGATGAGAAACAGTATTTAGAACAGGGCAACGTTTGGACAAGCCGAAAACTTTCATAAAATTAGGGGTGGGGGGTGGGAGGAAATTTTGATAAATTTTAAAGTTGGGACACAATAGCTAGCTAGAACGTAGATATTTAAACACCCATATTACAGATTGTAACCTTTAAATCAATATGTAAATTACTGTTTCTATAGCCTTGGGCTAGGTAACAGCTGCCTTCAATTTTCCGTTACTTTTTATCACATAACAAAAATAGATTGCTTTGTACTAATGGGTATTAAATGTGTCTGTTCAATAAATATTGTTTTAAGCCACGCCATTCTACAGGTATTATATTCAGCGAGTAATGATATGGCATCTTTATTTAAAATGAAAACCTTCTGGAAGTTTCTTCTTTTCCTGATGACAACAGTCTACATGTACCTCCTAGCTAATTCTTTCCATCCAGATGGCATCCCTTCACTCAAAGATCATTAAAAGATTTCCTACAATAAATGAAACCAAAGGTTAAAAGCAGAAGCAAACCAAAGATAAACAGTGGACCGAGTGTTAGAGGCCCAGTAGGCCTTAGTGCACACAATGAAAACTTTAAACTAAAGCAATTGGGGATGGGGGGGTGGGGGCTGAATTCAAAAATGTGAGTTCTGTGGTAATGTATTATATTCACATCGAGCGCACGTTCATTTCATCCAGCAGATTGAACACAATTCCACAAAGTGCACAGCACTTGGTCATCACATTATAGATTTTTCCGGTTCGGCTGATTTATCCATTTCCAAATTTAATCTTTTTGCAGCACCTTTCAACCCCATCCTTATTTGATAGGAGTGTTTTTAAAAGCAACAATGCACGTAAAACGATTGAAAATTGCGCGAATCTTTCATAATTTACATTTATCCTTGTCGCCGCCTTTTTTCAAGTTGTCATTCTGGAATACGCTATACAAATGTGTGCTTGTGGACAAAGCAAACAGAAATTTCCAAAATTAAATCTGAATTATTTAAAGGATATCAAATAGCTGCCTTTTATACAACGAGTAACACTAGTACTGAGCCTCAACGTCGAGCTTCACACATCTTTCATATTAGCCTAAAACATCAAAACAAAGTAATAAACCACAATAAGTTAGTGAACAAGTTAGTCAAGGTAGTGGAAGCAGGTTTGTTTTGGTTTGGTTTGTTTTACTTTCAAGTTTGCAATCAATAATACACTAAGCTTGTAAAACTAATCATTCTTCCAAACAATTCATATCTACTACAGAGACCGTATTCCCAGAAGGCTTTTGTTCCATTAATCTAAACGGTATTTCTAAATTTCTCTAAATATTTAATTCAGGAAATTCGGAAGTTTTATGGTTCCAAAAGCACTTTGCCAGGATCTTTGCGTGGTATAAATGCAGATCAATAAAGCATTCGTTGTAATTGGATTCTTTATTCGAAACTAAATTTATGTATTTTTTTGTGTGTGATTTTTTCAGATATCGAAGGGGGGGGGGGGGGGGGTCAGGACCCCCCAGACACCCCCTAAATCCGCCACTGAGATGTATGCCAAATTTGTCGCAGTGGTATCTCGCCTGCTTGTCTCTAGCGCAATATATCCTAGCTTGATATAGTCTCAACCAGGATCATATGGGTCGAGTGTCACCTATAGAAAGTAATGGGGGACGGACTACTGTTCCTAGCAGACTGCATGTACGTACCATTCCTCTCACGCAGGAGCCTTTGATGAATGCTGACGCAATCCGTAAGCGCAATGAAGCACAACCGTCCCAATAATCTCAACTAACACACTGTTTCGCTGTCTCGCTTTGCCCGTTTTATCTGTCGATGAGTTTTGGTGACACAATATCAGTACAACTGAACTGTTTGCTTTATACATATATATAAGCAAGGAATGCCTTAGTGGGAAATACAACACCATAAATACCAGTCTCTGAAAAGAATGATCGGCCTATAGTCTAAATATCTTGCGAGAAGAAACTGATGATTATGAGATGGCCTCTAGGAATAAAATATAGACGTAACTGCAAAGAAAAATTTAATGTCTCGAGATAGATTTTCCAATGGGAGGGGTATGGTAGTTGATATGAAATACAAATTTTAAAATTTCAACTTTGCCAATGCGTCGCAAAGCCCGCCTTACCCCTGCATCTTCTTGATCGTCAGAAAAGCTAGAGACCGACGACGAATTTAATGGATGATCCATTTATCTTGTGAAACATCATTTTATATAACTTCTTCCTTTTTGAGTCAATATCAGTATTTGGTATATTTCAATAAGGAAGTAAAGTATCAGCAGGGCAATTAATTAAGTTTTAATAAGCGAGATCTCCTCCAGTTAAAACACTATACCGGGATATATATATATATATCCCGGCATTTGAATATATATAACC